GACTTGAAAGTAGGGGTGTGGCAGAAGAGAAATGATGAAATAGGCAGCCATGTGGTAATGCAGGTTGATCAGAAGCAAAAATACTTACATCTAAATATTCTTTCTGTACTGGAAAGTGGGTGGTATGTATTTTGAGGCAACGCTCAGAATGTATGAGCAAAAAGGCAACAAGCAGCAGTTATTTTTTGCTCTCAGGAGCTCTTCCATCCACAGACTACTAGCAATGGTTTCTGGTCAGGAACTGTACTATAAATGAATGTTGTGTATGTATGTATGTCCTTGTTATGTGCACAGACACACACACACACACACAATAATACTATATTGCATCTGAAGTCTTGTAATCTTTGCCTTACTTTGTCTGGTAGTTGGGTCAGTCATTGGCTATTCGTTGTTATCTTAAAGCCAGGGAGCACTATTTAAGATGTGCTGCTTCGCCACTCTAACTTCATAACTATACCCTGCATATCAAAATGAAAAGATCAGAAATTCAGGAATTGTTTTTCCTACAATTATCAAGGTTTTCAGGGCTATTTAGTGCTGGTAAGTGCGAAAATATATTGCAGGATTCTTGCAGCTGATTTTTTTAACCACTGAAGGCAAGGCAGTTGGAATGGGAATTAAGATGAGGCAAGGAATTTTTTCCAGTGCTTGAGTGAAAACCTGAAGCATTTTATGGGTGTAAAATCGAGCTGCTGATCCAGGAGGCTGGTTTGTTGGGGGTTTTTCCCCCCCTGATTTTTGTTTTCCTTTTATCTCTAGCTGCTGCTTTGTACTGCTTATGTTTACAAAGTTGATGTTACCTCTTATTTAAAAGGAAAAAGTCCCATTAAAATGCACTCAACTTCAAGACAGAGTTTACAATTGCAAATCAAATATTAAATCCTGATCCTCCAGGGCTTAACTGTACCAGTGGTTAATTGAAACCAAGAGTGCATGCATTGAAGTAACAGGGCAGGGCAGGCCTGTGGCACTTGTAAAGCCTTGTAGCACAAGTCACAACAACAATTATCAGGAAGTCTATTTTCTGACTTCAGTATTTATTATTTTAGTCTACTGAAGGGCTGCCCATGTTAGGAAGAGATCATGTCAGGAACACGCAACTCAACTGCTTCCTTTCCAGCAGTGCTGGAAGGCAGTTAGTTACCTGTAGGATAAACAGCTTGGCATTGCTGTTACGGAAACAGTGATTAAAATGGTCCCAGCTGCCTTTGCTGTAATAATGGTGACGCTGGAAATGTTTTCCTCTCGTCTAAATTTTCATTTCGGGCCGCTGTTCTCTATAGAAAGGGTTACTTTATCTGAACCAGGTGATTTGTCCTGCTAAACAGAGAACTTGGAGCTGCTTCAAAAGAGGTTTTGATGACTTGCTGATGGGTGACATGGTGAGGGAAACAGGCAGAGAGCTGCTGGAGACGTGCAGGTGTACCAAACTCTTCACCTGCAGTGTTTTTCTACTGAAAAAGCAGATCTGTGTAAAATACAAGAGAGAATAACAGCCCAGAAGTTTAAAAACCTGTGGGGATGTGCAGTGCCCCACTCATCACATCTGAAGACGTTACGATGAAGTGAACAGATGACTGAGGAGGGTCAGTAAAACACCAGCAAATGAAGTTCTTCAAAGGCAGGCGTACACCAGCTGGCTGCTTCTGGTTTTGAATTGTTAAATGTTTGTTTGTGGCACTAAAGATCAAAACCCAAATTGTTCATTTATGGCATGGCCCTTTCAAACCGAAACTCTAGAAAGTCTGAAAATATTACAATCCACTTAGCAAGTTTTTTCGTTTTTAATAAATAAAGTTCCATAGAAACAGAAAGTATTTACAATTAGATCAAAATTCTGAATATAATTCACAAGAGAAAATGCTATTTTTTGAGAAAATGTTTTCATATCCTCATAGCAGTCATTTGTTCTAAATTAGTACATAGCAATTGTCCATTAAATGAACATTTTTCCCTTAAGACCTATTCTTGTAGAGAAGTATTTTAGGCAAAACTTCCTAACTATGATGTAACCATTTAGAATCAGAACATTTCTGTGATTAGTAATTCACATAAAAATTAACATCTTCCATGGCTTGAGGAAAACATGCTGAATAACTATCAAAACGTAAGAGAAGACAGGATGTAGGGAGAACAATATCTTTTCTTGGAGCAGCTTATATAGTTGAAAGAAAAGTATAGGCTTTTGGGCATTCAGTCCTTCCATCCTAATAAAGGATAACACCTGTTCCTGCAAAACTGTCTTCTCTTTTACCCTTAGATCATTACGACCGTGATTATGCTACCACTCTCCAAATATATGGGTTGTATACGTTCATATTGGGACTGAACGGCTTAAACACCGTCACTG